TATGATGAAGGTTCTGGGACTGAAGGTTTCTCTTTAAGCATAGTCCTTTCATCAGCTTATTTGGACGAAGCAGTTTCAGCAGATGATGATGGAGTAGGAGCTGCCAACACCAAAGCCTTCAAATGAGAGACTGAACTTTTTTGAGAAATTCAAGTAAATCATTAGCACATAGAAAGGTTTCAAGTAAACCATTAGCACATAGAAAGGTATGTTTGTGAATAAATAGAATTCAATTACCTTTCTCCTAACGATGAGAAGAGCGTCATCATCATCATCATCCTCCAAAATGGGAGATGCTGAAACTGGCCGTTTACGGCTTAAGGCACTCTTAGCCGCAGTAGCCTTGGCAGGTAGAGAAGTAGATGGACGAATATATTGTTTAACACGAGCAGGGGAGGAAGGATTCCTAATGGACACAGGGGTGACCAAAATAGGAGAAGTGGAAGAAGTGTTTGGCTGATCCAGTGAATGGAAAGCACGATTGGCATCAGTTGCAAACAATCTGCGCTTCACTGATGATCAGAGTTGTTCAAAAAGGGGATGAATGGCACGACTAGAATTGAAGGGGGCTAATTAAAATTTACTCGTCAAAAGAATGTTGCGAGCATCTATAACTTGTGCCTTTACCTTATTAATGGTGTGAAAGCGGTCTGTCAAATTTTTTGAATAGCAAGGAGGAACAGGCCAAGTTTGGCCAAAACCAAGTTGGCGAGCAAAAAATTGGGGAGCATATATTTTAACCCCAGCTTTGGCATTGGTTCCAGTTAAAATATCATGGAACAACTCCCTCCCAGTCAAAAACTAAACCCAAACGAGCAGAGAGGCGCTCGCACTGTCCAGGGTGGATGGAGGTTGCACATAATCTGGAGTCAAATGAGCAGGAAAAGGAAAGAAGGAAGGAATTGAATTTAACGTATAAAAAATGAAAAAATGTCCCTACTGGACATATTTACAGGGCTCAATGGGTCAATAGCTATCCCATAACAACTAGTAGAATGAAGAGAAATGGATGGAGCACCAAGTGATGGGAAATATGCTCTCAACCATAGTTGAGTGAACCAAAGAGGCCCACTGTCAGTGGAAGATGCACCATTCTTCAATTGAAATTGAAGAGAAATCATGTCTCTACGAAGGGCAGCCAACAAGAAGGAACACAAATTCAAAGGCCTACCACGCGCCAATTCATGCGCTATGGGTAAGTAACTTATGGAAGGCTTCATACTGGGCACGCAGAGAATATATTTACATAGCCAAATCTGAAGAAAGGCCACATGCTCAGCATGGGAAGGTTCAGCGCTTGAGTGATTATAAAAGCCTTATTGCAGGCTTGAGTAGGACTCAGTGAGTTTCTTGTCGAATTTCGGGGCGACACCGGAAATCAAAATACCAGGAAAAATGGTATCGTCCAAAGGTGGAAGATTTACTAGGGCCCCAACATCCCGTAAAGTAATAGACACAAGACCAAGAGGGAAAACAAAGGTATTATATTCAAAAGACAAAAAACTTAAAGCAATAGGAAAAAGCACTGGGTCAAAAAATTGGTGGTTGAAGAGCGATTTCTAATAAATCAGAAATCTTAGCACGATCAAAAATTGCCTTGGTAGGACCATGGCCCACAAGGCGAGCATGCCATCTACGAAAAATAACATCAGATTTAGGCCAAGTGCGAATACCTTTTTCGCGACTCGGCTTCAGCTGCAAAGAGTTCAGGAACGGAGGGCCTTGAGTGCAAGGGAACAGTTGGCCCACCGCCACTTGTTCGACGGCTTCGACGTTATTGAATGATGGACCCAGATAGAACTCATTGAGTTCGGCATTGGTTGGTGCAAGGAAGTTCGGATTTACATATGGCCAAGTAAGGATTTTCTGGAAATCTTCGAAACTAAAAAGGTCATCAGATTGGTTTGTGGAGCTGCCATTGGGAACGAAATACAGTTTTGTTAAAGTTTGCTTGAGAAACGTAGCACAGTAGCAAGAAGATGAACAGTAATATTGCGAGAAAGAAGCGCGAAATAATGAGGCGTGATTTAGTGGTGCGATGAAGTGGCGTGTCTTTGGGGTTTATAAAAGTTTGTAACGTCGCACCTTTTCAGGCTATAGAAAGAAATAATGATTGAAATTCTTGAGAATTTCAAATGTTGCTGGAAAATACAAAATAAATATGGCAAAGATTAATAATTAGTATTAATTTTGCCATATTGGGGGGTAATTGTTGACACACTAAAAGTGCAGTCCAAATCGAATAGCCCAAAGAATGAAGCCCAATTGGGCAATTCAGGATAAAGACTCAGACAAAGTGATTAATGAATGCAGTGAATGCAGTAAGATCATCGCTCAAGCTTGCAAGACGCCCAAGATCTGAGCGAATGGAGTACCTTACAGTCGCCCAAAGCGATGACCTTGTTCTCGCCCATACCTTCGAATCACCCAGGATCTTAGCAAACATAAAATGTTATGGTTATCCAGAAATGCAGTTATTGAAGCAGTTATTCAGTAACCTTATCACATTCCACGATTCAAGGAACTCAGTTGAAGGCGGTTGAACGACAAAGAGTAGTGGCAGCAGTTAGAGACGGTAGTTCCACAACAAGTTAACCACCATAAAGAAAGTGGGTATTTATAAAGCAATCAAGCAGTTTTCAAGCGGTTTGTCACGAAAAAATCATCAAGGGAATATAAAAGGAAGAGAAGACAGAGAGAGAAAGGACTCCCGAATCAAACATTCTCAAACAGAGAATATGTAATTTCAATTTCTTAGTTTAAACTTAAACATTTCTTTCAGTACTCGTGTGCTTGCGCTCCTTGGAGGCATTCTGTTTAGTTTCAATTGTACATTATCACCAATAAAACACCCCTTTCTGAGACTTTGTCTCAAGAGATTTGTTCCTTACACAATCGTCTGATCCCTTTAATTGTTAGCGACTACCCGCGCGAAATAATGACATTCTACATAGCGACTTGTGATTTGATGTATTAATATGGTAGTATTTTCTTATCTCATATATCAAATCACTAATTGACATATGTATGTTATATATGACGACTACAATAGTGAATGAATATAAATAGCATTATTCATATTTTAAGGTTTTGATTCGTTCGCCTCGCGAATTGATATTTCATTAATGTGAATAGGCTCATGTCATTTTACAATTATCCAAAACCCAAAATTGGAAATTTCATATTTGAAGGTTTTGATTCTTTCGCATCATGAATTGATATTTCTTCAAGGGAAAATTGTAGTAACGGTTTCTACCCTTTTCGTTTTTTGCACATTTTATTCAAATTTTCATTTTGTGTTAGCGAAAGTCCCTAATCTTTCATAAATATGCATTTGAGGTCATCTGGATGGATGAAAATCGTCCAAAACACCATTAGTTGATTTGGAAAATTTGTTGAACTATCTGCTAACTTGATGGTTTTATTGGAGTCGATTCTTTACTTTTTCTGATCAACTGATAATGTTTTGGACGATTTCCTTTCAAATGGATTCAAGTGCATATTTATGAAAGGTTAGGAACTTTCGCTGACACAAAAAGAAGATTAAGATGAAATTTATAGAAAATGAAAAGATTATAAAACACTGCTGCAATTTTCCGTTTCATTAATGTGAAGAGGCTCGTGTCATTTTACAATTATCCGAAACCCAAAATTGGAAATTCTGGTATTTATTCCCGGAAAGACACGTGTCAGGAGTACCCCAGGCACAAGCTGGTGCGCACTGCTCCCGTGAGCGTACGTTAGAATCACACCATTCATGAAATATATAACACAGTTGCACTTTAGCCTTACGTCAGTAGTTACGTTTATGTTCACAGCAACGGTTCAATTGGGTTGACAAAAATCGTGGCCCCCAGGAGTTGTCGACCAGGTTGTAGAATAATTCTCTTATGTTCAGTCGCTCGCACACAGCCCAAAAATTTCTGTTGGAAAGATCATCCAAAAGTCTCAGGGTTTGGTTGATTTCTACGGAATACATTTACATACAACAAATATACATATAAAATGCGTGTATAAATACGTAGAGATATAAGTGTATGGTGTCTAGGTACTAATGGCGGAGGAGGGATCGGAGAAGGAGAATGGGGGTTCAGCTTCTATGGACTCGATGGAGTCGCGGTGGGTGTATGAGGACGTGTGGGAGTCGGAGATCGACGACGGACTTGCTGACGGCGGTGCTACCGAGGAGGGAAATTTTCCACGCATGGATTCTGACGATGAGGATACCGCGGAGCAGAAGCTAATTCGTACCGGCCCTCATATTGATTCGTTTGATGTTGAGGTTCTTGAAGTTCCTGGCGCTCAAAGGAATGACATTGAGGTACATCACTTTTTTTTTTTCTTTTTCTGGAATTGATTTGATTAATTTAGATTGTCTGATACTATGTGCTTGTATCTGATACTATGTGCTTGTATCATAACTATTAGGTGGGAATGTGATTTCTAAGTTCATAAACTTACATCATATAATTCCCTGTCTGTTCTGCCTTTTATCATTTTTTGCTATGGGCCCAAGGCTATTCACCTATATTTCTTGTCTCACATCCCAACCAATAACCATAGCCCGAGGAATTGAAGAGGATGTAATGCATTAGAACTTGATGTAATAGAGAAGTTTTAGAGATTTATTTATTTATTATTATTATTTTATTATAAGAAAGCTAGAAAATCAGTTCCACATATCTACACTTATGTATTAGGTGTTGAAGTTATCAAATGAATAAATTTTCACAACATCAACATGGTAAAAAAGGAGGATGTTAAGATGGATGTGTGGCTAATGGATAAGATAAGTGTTGAGAATGTAAGCCAATAACTGGTCGTGACACAAATCTAGGAGAAATTAATGGAAGTACGATTTGGGTGTTGGGATATATAATATATAGAAACATAAAAGTGATGCAGTCTCCGTAGAACATGTTAAAAGACGGAGGACTAGACCAAAAATAACATGGCCTATTATCCTAAAGAGCTAAATGGATTGGATTTTTCAACACATGTATCGACTAACTAATTGGAGGGACGGAAAAGGATTCATGTAACTCAACCCATATTTATATATAATAAGGCTTAGTTTAAAATTTGTTGTTGTATTCAAAATAAATCCCAGAAATAGCAATAATGAATCAGTCTTACAACACATAACTGATCCCCAAATTTATTGATAGTAAAGTTTAGTATATTGGTTTTGTTGTGTTCAAATTAGATCCCCAAAACACAACAATAATGAATCAGTCTTAGAACATTTGGAGCTTTTCCATAATTGCCCACCTAAAAAGATCAATCAATATGGCTCCACTATCCTCTGTGTCTATTGATTAATTAAAATTAGAATTGGGATTTATAGCTGGAAAATATATTTCATCAAAAAGTTTAAGACATTCTTTACCGATTGAGCAACCTGGAATTGGCCATTGCTTAATGTAACAAGGACTTCACATTTTCACGTCTTCTAACCATATTCAACTCAAGATCTACTGTGTGCAGAGGTGTTAGGATATGATACTAAGTAACTTAGCACTCATCTATATCTTCGGGAATTGAGTTCTCTCTCGGTAACTTTCTTTTAGTATCTGTATTGAGAAAATGGAAGAAGAACCATTGCACATAAGCTTTTGTTAAATTTTTGTATGACCAAAAATCATTCATGAGGGGTTGGTATCTTTATTCTTAAAAGGCAATTGCAGGATGTCACCATGGGCAGGAGACTTATACTGGCTTTTCAGACACTTGGTGTCGTCTTTGGTGATGTGGGGACAAGTCCACTATACACCTTCAGTGTGATGTTCAGCAAGGCACCAGTCAGTGGGAATGAAGATATTCTTGGTGCACTGTCACTAGTTTTGTACACCTTAATTCTGTTTCCATTGATCAAGTATGTCCTCATTGTTCTCTGGGCCAATGACAATGGTGAAGGTATCCAATTTTTTTATTTTCATTACAACATTCATCCATGGCCGTACACTGTATGTGCTGTATATTTGTACAGTTAATGAGTTTGATTCGTTATTTGCCTAATTGCTGCAGGTGGTACATTTGCTTTGTATTCATTGATTTGTAGGCATGCTAAAGTTAGTCTTCTCCCTAACCGACTTCCATCAGATACTCGTATATTCAGCTTCAGACTTAAGGTTCCATCTCCAGAACTAGAAAGGTCATTGAAATTAATGGAAAGACTTGAAGCATCTCTTTTTCTGAAAAAGCTTATTCTGATGTTGGTTCTTGCTGCTACTTCAATGGTGATAGCTGGTGGTGTTGTTACACCTGCAATGTCAGGTAATTGTTAGCATATTCAAGTTAATGCATTTTATTGGTCTTGGAGGATTAGTTCTTTGGTAGTCCAAGGGCATTGTCATGTGTTTTTCATTTCAAAACATGTTTTATTGCTTGAAGTTGATATGAATTTTTAATAATGCACGTGCAGTGATATCTGCTGTTGATGGCTTAAAGATTGGAGTTTCTGGGATAAAGCAAGGTGAGTGATCCTCTTTAATTAAATGAAATCAACAAGTAAAATACTTGTAGAAGAGTAGTTTTTTTCCTCTGCCTAACTTTTTTTGATGTGGGTTGTGATTCAAATTTATTCTAGTCCTGTGTTATGGAATTATGCATCAATTTCTGTTTATATTTGTTCTTTACATATATAACACATTTATATCTGGTAGGTGCATAAGTTTAGAATGATTTCTTATTTTGATAGGATTGTTTCCTTATGAGAAACATCCTCTATGTGTATATATGTAACACGTTTATGAATTGTGATATGGAATAAGTTATTCTTCCAAAATCAACATGGTATCAGAGGTTCAAGAAATTAGGGTTTGTAATTTTTTCGTGGGACTGGTCTCGGTGGTGGAAAAGGTTTGGGCCGGTATTTTTCGGGTTAAGACAGAGACTTACCTTGAGTCACTTCTTGGTGGTTGATGACCAGAAGTGTGGCGGCGGAAATTGGTTGCAACGAGCGTTCCGCGACGTTGTGTGATCTCGACTTGAGTTCTCTCTGGATCAGCAGGCTCTCCAGTAACCCGTTGCGTGTGGCGAGTGTTGGTGTAAGAGAACTAGCTTCGTCTGGCTTCGTCGACTTCTCTGTAGCGAGTGTTGGGTGTAAGAGAATCTGGTTTCGTCTGGCATCGTCGACTTCTCTGCTTCATAGTTTCCTCTTCTCCTTCCGGTGAGCGTGGACTGTGTTTGTGTTTGGGCTGCAGACGAGTTGTGGGTTTGGGCTATTTGTTTGGGCTGAGGCGGGTCAATCTCATTTTACTTCGGTTGAATTGATTTATTTTGTTTCGTTTGGACTGCATTTTACTGGACGTGCATTATTGTTGGATTGATATTATTGTTAAGTTGGTTTGGAGTTTATTTTGTATTCCTTTTGGTTCTCTGATAATCAATGGCGGAAGGTGATAAAAAAATGGTTAATGAAATCACAATAACCCCATCTGCAAAAATCACAGAAAGAAAATTAACGGGTAGTAGAAATTATGCTCAATGGAAGAGAGTTGTTCGTAGATATGTATCAAGTTTAGATTTGGGCGACCATTTGACTGATGACCCACCTCCACATTCTAATACTAATCCGGGGATTCGAAAAAAATGGTTGATGGAGGATGATAAACTCATACCTTTGACTCGACAGGTGATGATGTTATTAATCATTTTGATACTATGAAAGAACTGTGAGACTATCTAGGGTTTATGATGTGTCGCATGTTCATGAACTAATGTGGAAAATTTACCGGGCTGAGCAAAAGTGGCGAAATCTGTTTCAATATTATACTGACGTAAAACAAGCATTTGAAAAAAAGCGAGCCATGTTTCCTATTACTAATGATGTGAAGAAAATGCAAGAACAAGAAGAGCAGATCGTGGTTCAGTGTTTTCTTGCAGGATTGGGTCCTGAATATGAGGTGACTCGTACTCAGTTACTTACTATTGAGGCAGTACCTTTATTGAGTGATATATATGCTCGTTTTCTTCGGGTATGCAAGGACAATGACAAGGAGCAAGGTATAGTACCAAATAAGACGGTAGCTCTGGTTGGCACAAATTCAAAATTAAATAACAATTACAATAATAAAGGAGGAGGAGGAGGTAGTCGAGATAAAATTTCTAGCGGTGGTTCTTGTGGTTGTTATTATTGTGGAGAGCAAGGACATATTAGAAGGAATTGTTGGAAATTAAATGGTAAACCAGCAAAGAACACGAAAGTTTGCAAATGTTGCCACTCAGGATGGTCGGTCTTTTACCTACACCTTCTACTTAGCCTTAAATTACAATTTTAGCAGATGAAGAGGCTCGCCTTACACAATTTTACATTTCTCAACAGCCTCCTACACCTACCACTTCTACTTTAGCCAACACAGGTAATTCTATAGCATGTCTTTCTACCGTATCCCATAGTTGGGTCATTGATTTCGGCGCCACAGATCATATGACTGGGAATACAGGTATACTTTCATCTCTTCAATACTCTTCCAATATACAATGTGTCACTTTAGCTAATGAGTCTACAACTCCCGTTGTTGGATGATGGATTGCACATCCAACAAACTCTTTACCAATGTCATCTGTTTTATGTTTACCTAAGTTTCCTTTCAATCTTTTATCTGTGAGTCAAATTACTAAATCCCTTAATTGTAGTGTCATTTTCTTTCCTAACCATTGCGTTTTCTAAGATCTTGGGACGAAGCAGATTATTGGTAGAGGACGTGAGCTCAATGGCTTATATGTGCTAGAATCTTCCCCTACACAGGTGCTAAGATCGATTGCATGCACTAGTACTTCTTTTCTTATGCAGCTCCATTGTCGCTTCAGCCATCATTCTCTCCCTGTTTTGAAGCAATTATGTCCTAGTTTTAGTCAAGTGTCTCAATTAAATTGTGAGTCGTGTCAATTAACAAAACATCATAGTGTCATTTTCTCCTAGAATGAATAAACGGGCTGTGTCCCCTTTTGATTTAATACATTCAGATATTCAGGGTCCTTGTTTTATTTTATCTAAGTCTGGTTTTCGCTATTTTGTTACTTTCATGGATGATCATTCTCGTGTTTCTTGGTTATATTTTATGAAAAATATTACTAAATTATTTTCAATTTTTTGTGCCTTTTATGCTGAGATTAAAACTCAATTTAACAAATCTATACATATCTTAAGAAGTAATAATGCCAAGGAGTATTTCTCATCGACATTTACTTCCTTTCTTTCACAAAATGGCATTATTCATCAATCTTCATGTATTGTTACTCCTCAAAAAAATGGAGTAGCAGAATGAAAGAATCGTCATTTATTGGAAGTTGCACGAGCTCTCCTTTTTCATATAAAAGTTTCAAAAGAATTTTGGGCAGATATAGTATCTTCTGCGTGTTACTTAATCAATCGTATGCCTTCATCTATCTTAGATGACAAAATCCCTTATTCCATTCTATTCCCCTCTCAGACTCTCTTCTCTCTTGCTCCTAGAATATTTGGGTCCACTTGCTTTGTTTAAGATATGAGACCTCAAGTTTCCAAACTTGATCCTGGATCCCTTAAGTGTGTATTTTTGAGTTATTCTCGACATCAAAAGGGTTATCAATGTTTTGCTCCCTCCTTAAAATGATACTTAATGTCTGCTAATGTCACTTTTTTCGAGGCCACACCTTTTTCTAGTTCTGCTGTGTCCTCTAATCCATCTCCTATTGAGTCCGGGGATGACTTCCTTATTTACATTGTTACGACACTTGTGTTACCAGTATCTTCTCGCCCTCCTATTCAAAGTTTTTACATTCGTCGTGTGCAGCAATCTTCGGTGGAACCTGATATTGGCCATGACTTGCCTCCTCTACCGGCTACTTCTCCTCAGGATTCGTCACCCCCTCCTGATCCTACTCTTGATCTTCCCATTGCTCTTTGTAATGGTAAATGATCATGTACTTATCCTATCTCTTCTTTTGCTTCTCAACATGCATTGTCACCATCTTCCAAGTCTTTTATTGCTTCCTTAGAGCATGTGTCCATACTAAAATCTATCTCTGAGGCTTTATCCCATTGTAGCTGGCAAGCAGTCATGCAAGATGAAATGTTGGCACTAGAACATAATCACACATGGAGATTGATTCCTTTATCACTCAATAAAAGGGCAATTGGGTACAAATAGGTGTTTACAGTCAAGATGAATCCTGATGGATCTGTTGCTCGATTGAAGGCTCGTTTGGTTGCTAAGAGGTATGCTCAAACTTATGGTGTGGATTATTTTGAGACTCTCTCCTGTTGCTAAGCTAGCTTTTGTTCGGTTGTTCATTTCTCTTGCTGCTACCTATCATTGACCGCTTCACCAGCTGGATGTTAAAAATGCATTTCTCCATGGCGATTTGTATGAAGAAGTTTACATGGAGCAACCATCGAGGTTTGTTGCTTAGGGAGAGTCGGGGAAAGTATGCAAACTACAGAAGTCATTATATGGTCTGAAACAATCACCCTGTGCCTGGTTTGAAAAATTTAGTGCGGTTGTGATTGAATATGGCTTGAAAAGAAGTGCATATGATTACTCGGTATTCTTTAAACAGTCTACAGTTGGGTGTATCTTGTTAGTTGTATATGTTGATGATATTGTGATTACTGGTAGTTATAGCAATGGCAAAGTATGCTAAAGGCTTTCCTAGGCACAAAATTTCAAACAAAGGAGCTAGGTCCTTTGAAATATTTCCTAGGGATAAAGATAGCTCGAAGTGGCAAAGGAATTTTTCTATCTCGAAGAAAATATGTTCTCGACCTACTGGATGAGACAATTTTAGCTGAAGCAAAACCTGGTGATGCCACTATGATACCATATGTGAAACTCGGAGCAGAAGATGGAAATGTGTTTGTCGATATAGATAAGTATAGGAGGGTAGTGGGAAAGTTGAACTATCTTACAATTACTCGGCCAGATATTGCATTTCTCGTAAGTGTTGTTAGTTAGTTTATGTTATCTCCTAGAACTTCACATTGGGATGCCATAACTCATATATTAAGGTATCTTAAAGGAGCTCCAGGATGTGGAATTCTTTATAGAGACCGTGGTCATTGTAGGGTTGAGGGTTTCTCGGATACTGATTGAGCAGGTTCTCCCGTGGATATGCGCTCTACTACTGGGTATCGTGTTTTCGTTGGAGGTAATCTAGTCTCGTGGAAAAGTAAGATTCAGAGTATTGTGGCTCAATCAAGTGTAGAATCTGAATATTGGGCTATGGCACAGGTGACTTGTGAACTTATGTGGCTACGTCACTTACTTGGACAAATTGGCATTGATACGTCTCACTCTATGAACTTGTGGTGTGCTAATCCAGCAGCTATTTACATTGCCACTAATCCAGTATTTCATGAGAGAACAAAGCATATAGAGGCAGACTGTCACTTTGTTCGTGAAAAGTTACAACAAGGATTGATTTCGACTAAGCATGTCAAGATAGGAGATCAGTCAGCTGATGTGTTCACTAAAGCTTTAGTCAGAACTTGAGTAAAATATATTTGTAATAAGTTGGGGCATGATTGATATTTATGCTCCGGCTTGAGGGGAAGTGTTATGAAATTATGCATCAATTTATGTTTATATTTATTCTTTATATATTCAACACATTTATATATGGTAGGTGCATAAGTTTAGAATAATTTCTTATTTTGATAGGATTGTTTCCTTATGAGAAACATCCTCTCTATGTGTATATATGTAACACAAGTTTATGAATTGTGATATGGAATAAGTTATTCTTCCAAAATCAACATCCTGTAAATATTTATATATGTTTTGATCATTAAAGTCCCACCTAGACTGTAGAATGACATCAGGATTCAGTTTTTTAGGGTAAGCTTTGTCTGAGAAACAACCAAGATCTTAACTATGATTGCTTGGTTAAACAAAGAAACTTTACCAGTTAAAGATGAGTTGTCACTTTCTTGGTCATCTGAGGCGCTTAACACTTACAAAGTAGTATGAGTTACCAAATCATTGAACTTAATTAATAAAAAAATGCTGCGATTCTGTGCACTTTGGAGGATATAAGAAAAGATGTCTGTGAGGAATTTGGCTGTGTTTCTGGTGATATCTTTAGTATGCATCCTATATTTGATAGGGGTTGTGCTTACGGTATTTATATAGCCCCTATTTGGTTTAGCTAAAAATGGTATTTTTAGAGGATTTTGATAAACTTTGATGAAATTTCTGGTTGAAAAGTTGATAAAAGTTGTGAGTCTCATGAAATATGTGGTTGAAATGAGTTTGAGGAAAAATTTGTTTTGGAAAATGGGGCCAAACAGGCATAGTATCTTGGAGTTGTTACTCAAATTTGGGATGGCCAGCTACTGACTTTCTGACCACCTCAGCAGTGTATACAAATTGTACAAATTTGGGCTTTTAAGCTTGAGTTAGGAATAAATCAGTGTAACTATGAATTAATAAGAGCTACTTGAAGTTATATTACCTTGTAACTGAAATCGTTGTATGACATTTAGTTCAAAATATATACATTGAACTTGCAACAACGTTGATACTACAATTATTTATCCACAATAACATGAAATCAAATCAATTACTCAGCCATTTTAGTTTTCTTTTGCAGATCATGTGGTGATGATCTCGGTTGCATTTCTTATAATTTTGTTTAGTGTACAGAAATATGGAACAAGTAAAGTAGGACTCATAGTTGGTCCTGCCTTGTTCATATGGTTTTGTTCTCTTGGAGGCATTGGCATATACAACCTTCTTAAGTATGATACCATGGTCTTGAGGGCATTTAATCCAGTTCACATCTATTATTTCTTCAAGCGAAATTCTACAAAGGCTTGGTATTCCCTTGGGGGCTGTCTTCTTTGTGCAACAGGTAAATGTTCTGAAGTATGGAAATGTGTTTGAAAACCTCCAAAATAAAATAGAAACTCGAAGACTGATTGAACAGTACTTATGTTTCCTTTAGTGGATATAATGTTACCTTTCTGCATGAAGCTTGCTTTCTGTAAAAGGAGGTGTTTTATGCATATGGATATGACCATTAATTTCTTGTCTGGCAAGAATTTTCTAATTTATTTTAGAATATGAACATGTGTGCATATTATTTGAGGAGTTAGATAAGAGACGAGAAACATTCAATGATCTGGGATGACCTAGAAAACCTTGAGGCGCGACTAGAAGAAGCTAACGCATCCATTTTGAAGTGAAAAAAAAAAAAAAAAAAAAATTCCCTTTTGCTGATGTTAAGAATGTTACAAAATCACTAAACCCGTCAAGTTTAGTCCAATTCCAGTGTGCTCTTTTTTAGCAACATTGCCTCCTACAGCTTGCTGGTTCATGGGAATATTTTTTGATCTTTCTGTCAACGTAACCATAAATTTGTTTTATCTTGTTCCTTAAAGAGTAGCTGTTCATTTAGGTATCAACACTAATGGGAGTAATATTTTAAGTGACATTTATTTATGATTATAATTATAGAATTCTTGTGCAAAATGAGAAACTTCTGCAAAGAAGTTTTTTGCTTGTGTGAGAAATTCGAAATGCTTAAATTGCTCATCTATGAGTTTGAGTTCATCAGCAATATAACATTCCTGGCTGTCATCTCTAAGTTAATTCTGTTTTTCTTTATTTTAAATTTGACATTTTTTTCCTATACTTCTGATGTTCAGTTATGTTGGCTCAGGTTCTGAGGCAATGTTTGCAGATCTTTGCTATTTTTCCGTGAGATCTGTACAGGTAAAGCAGTAAACTGCATCAGATACTCCTTTTGTTTTGTCTTTATCCTCCCCCTGTAATGAAATGATCTAAAAGAATGTCTTAGTCTAAATTTTTCTTACTGCGATCCAAATTTGTTGATGCAGCTTACCTTCATGTTTCTTGTGTTACCTTGCCTTCTGTTGGGCTACCTGGGTCAAGCTGCTTACCTCATGGAGAATCATGCTGATACAACCCAAGCTTTCTTCTCTTCTATTCCAAGTAAATATTATTTTGTCTTACTAGAACTCCTTTATTACTTCCTCCTTTCTTTGTATTCTTCTTTCTGGCTATACCTTAATGTGTATTAAAGATCTGGTCATGATAACTAACATGCACAACTCTAGATAAGATCAACAGTAAAGTTTTATTGTCTATATACAACTCAGGGGTACTAGTTTTATTTTTCTCACAGCTTTCTTGAGTTTGTCATGCATTTTGCATATTGAATATGCATTTTAACCTAGACTTGGACTACTAATCCTAGATAAGTATAAGCATGAAAAAGATAAATAAATTAATTATTTACCTGGAACAAAATATTTCTGCTGCAGGTGGAGCTTTCTGGCCTGTCTTTCTCATAGCTAATGTAGCAGCATTGATTGCAAGTAGGACTATGACTACGGCAACTTTCTCATGTATTAAACAATCAACAGCACTTGGTTGCTTTCCTCGCCTTAAAATAATTCATACCTCACGGAAATTCATGGGTCAGATTTACATCCCAGTCATGAACTGGTTTCTACTGGTTCTGACCCTGATTTTAGTCTGCACCATTTCCAGTATTTACGAGATTGGGAATGCTTATGGTAATTCTTCTTCTTCTTCCTCCTTTTTTCATTTTTCATGTTTCATTTTTTTTGGCAGCTTGATTTATTGATAACCATTTTTTTTTTTGGCTGTTTAATTTGTAGATCTTGTTTACATCTTTCTATGTGTTTAATTTGCACACACAAACTTCTACATTATAGTAGTTGGAATTTCATAGGCTTTATATGTGGTCCAGCGTTCATACTCTGATCTGCTCTTGGTTTAGTGTTTAAGAGTAGATACAAGCATGCTGGATGTTTTCTGAATTTGGGACATATCTGAAATCTGATTGTTGAACTTCTATATGAATTTGATAATTGATTAAACTCACTAGGGGTACCTTCTAGTACTTATTTCCTTTTTCTTTGTCATAACTGTGCCTTTAAGAAGATGCATATTAACTACCACCTTTTAAATGAGGGGCCTAACCAGATATCCCTGTTCCTGACCTTCTGAGTGAGTTCATCATATCAAAAAACCAGTTTAGCCTCCTTATAAAGCAAGACCCCAAGATGGGTAAAGGGCTGCTGCTGGTGTCGAAAACCAGTCAGGTGTTACAATCTCTTGTTCTGGCTAACAGAAGCCTTGTGAGGCAGAATAAGACCATTTTTATCTCTATTCACCGACTAGAGACGCCCTCGTAATGGACCAAGCAATCAAGGAGCCTCGCTATAGATTGTTTATGACCGTTGGTGAATATAATCATGTCATCAACAAATGAGAGATGAGAAATTAGTGTCTGGTCACCATGCCGATAGCCCATAATAGGGCAAGTCTGGAATTGTTGCATGAGAAGACAAGAAAAGTAGTCAACCACAATGATGAAGAGGGAGAGCGAGATGGGATCTCCCTTACGAAGCCCCGAGAAGAGGGAAAGAAACCATGGGGACAACCACTTAGGAGTACAGAGAATCGACAATCAGAGATGCATCGCCTAATCCTGTCAATCCAAAGCTTATCAAAACCAATACCATTTAGAACTGAATAAAGGAAGCTCCAATCCATACGATCATTCAATCTACCAATGAGCTGCGGGAAGATCCAAATAAAGAATTACATGTTTAAGATAACCCCATTAATATCATATAATGGTAATTGAAGTAATACAGTAGGTCCCAATCTGTAGAAGCAAGGAAAAGCAGAAGAAAATGCAGGAAAAAGCTATTTGCATTGATTGAATGGGAATACAGCTCAAAAACAGAAACCAATAGAGGCCATTCAAGGGCCTAACTCTTCTACTATGACTTTACTCACAATCATTTTTTCATAACCGCATGCTCCATGCATCTATTCTATTTATAACCCCCTGAGTAACTAACTCTAGTCATGTCGCCTCTGCTCAACGGAATTTGTTGCTCTATAGCTTGACCCTTCTAGAATAGGTGTATTTAATTGGAGGCCTATTAATTATCCCGCCCAATTTAGTCACCTTGTCTGTAAGGTGGAAAGCAGGAAATTGCTGGTTAATGAGCTCAAAAGGTTCCCAGGCTGCTTCCAAGGGTGACAGACCAAACCATTTAATCAGCACCTCCGTCCTATTAGCGTTGCCCAGTGGTGCGAAGTGTATTCCTAACACAGATTCTAGTTCAACCTTCAACTCCCAATCTTCTCCTAAGTTTTGTGGTAAGCTTTTCTAAGTTGAGAAACATGGAAGACTTTAAGAATTTGGGATTCTGGTGGTAGTTTCAATCTATAAGCCGCCTGTCCTACCTTTGCTAACACTTTAAAAGGCCTATAGTACCTGGGGGCTAGCTTTTCATTGAAACGGTGTGCTAATGATTTAAGACGATAGGGCTGCATTTTCAGATAGACCAGCTTCCCAGTTGCAAAATCTACAGCCTCCTATGTTGGTCAGCTACAACTTTTATCTTTTGCTGAGCTCGTTGTAGATGCATCTTCAGCTCATCTAAAGACTTTCGTCCTATTAGCCTTGTGAGCGGTGCTTACAAGATTATTGCGAAGATTTTGGCAAATTAATTGAAGGAGGTGCTGGGAAAAGTGGTGTATGCTTTCGTTAAAGGACGCCAGATTTTGGATTCAGTACTTATAGCAAACGAATGCATTGACTCAAGACTGCGCCTGGGTGTTCCTGGAATGCTATGTAAGCTTGACATTCAGAAAGCTTATGATCACGTAAATTGGAGATTTCTCTTATATATGCTCAAGTGATGTGGCTTTGGGGATAAGTGGTGTAAGTGGATTCAATTTTGCATCTCCACAGTTTCTTTTCAGTTATGGTGAATGGCATTCCGGAGGGTTATTTTCGTAGTAGCAGAGGATTGAGACAAGGGGATCCTTTATCCCCGTCGCTGTTTGTCATTGTAATGGAGGTTTTCAGTAAGATGCTCGAGAAGGCCGTGGGGAAGAGTTTACTAAGGGGCTTTATGGTTGAGCAGTTACAGGTATCTCATTTGCTCTTCGCAGACGACACACTGATTTTCTGTGATGCAGAGGTAGAGCAAATCAGGAATTTGCGACGTTTGCTCTTGTGCTTTGAAGCTGTATCTGGATTGAAAATTAATCTGGGGAAATCTGAAGCTATCACAGTGGGAGAGGTGGCTAACAACATGGTGGAGTTGGCTACTATACTAGGATGCAGGGTTGCGCGATTGCCTATGACATATCTTGGGTTGCCTTTAGGCACTCGGTTTAAAAGCACACACATCTGTAATAGTATTATTGAAAGGGTGGAGAGAAGGCTTGCGGGGTGGAAGCGTATGTACCTCTCAAAGGGAGGTCGTCTTACTCTCATAAGGTCGACATTGTCAAACCTCCCTACTTACTTCATGTCGTCGTTTCCTATTCCTATTGCAGTGACAAAAAGATTGGAGACAATCCAAAGGGATTTTCTTTAGGGAGGATTAGGGCAGGAGAGGAAATTACATTTGGTTAATTGGGGTATCGTATGTTCTCCCATGAGGTTGGGTGGTCTCGGATTGAGGAGTCTCGTACTGTTTAATAAAGCTTTGTTGGGTAAGTGATTGTGACGATTTGGAACGGAGAGGGGGAGTTTTTGGAGAGAAATTATAGAAGCAAAATATGGTGTTATGGAGGGGGGATGGTGTTCAGTCGAGAGTCGAGACTCTTATGAGGTGAGTCGGTTGTGGTATATTCGGCGAGGGTGGAATGATTTTCGGGATAAATTGATGTTTGTAGAAGGGAATGGTAATACTATCAATTTTTGGGATGATTGTTGGTGTGGAGATCAATCACTAAGATTGAAATTTCCTTCTTTGTATCGTATTGCATTTTTGCCGCCTGCCATGGTAAATGATGTTTTAGATATTCATAATGGGAGTATCAGCTGGAACATTGCTTTTGCACGGGGTTTACAGGATTGGGAGTTAGACGACTATGCGTTGTTTTTGACATCTTTATATGAGGTACAAATCAGGACAGGAGATGGTGATTACAGCAGGTGGAGGTTGGCACGGGATGACATGTTTTCAGTCGGCACTTTCTTTAAGTCTTTATTGGGACCTGAGAACAACTCTTTCCCTTGGAAGCCGGCGTGGAAGAGTAAATTGCCACCACGAGTAGCATTTCTACTATGGACACTAGTCAGAAGATAGGTGCTAACGGCGGAAAACCTACAGATAAGGGGTTTTTGTATTACAGAGTGGTGCTTTATGTGTCGGAGGGATGGGGAGATTATCGATCACTTGTTCCCTCATTGTGATGTTGTTAGTTTACTGTGGAATGAGATTTTCGCATCGCAACACATAGATTGGGCGATGCCAAGTCGTATGGAAGACGTGTTAAAGGCATGGAGGAGAAAATTTCGCGACAAGGATAGCAGACTTGCATGGGAGCTTATTCCGGGCTGCATAGTTTGGTGTGTGTGGAGAGAAAGGAACAGCCGATGCTTTGACGATCAAACAAGAACAACAGAGCAATTTAGAGAATTGTTTTATTTCACATTGTACACTTGGTTTAATGCGGTGACTACTAGTCATATAGATGGGATGCCCAATTTTATGACGTTTCTTTTGGATTTGTATTGATAATACACTTTCTTTGTATTATGGTTTGATTAATAAAATACTTGATTACCTTTAAAAAAAAAAAAAAAAAGATAGTTCAGCCCATGATAGAAAACGAAACCACTTCTTGGGCCTGCCAGAAGTAAAGCAACACAAATATGTCTCGATACCCCCGTTGACTACCTCTGCTTGACCATCGATTTGCGGGTGATAGACCGAACTAAGCCTTAGTTTAGTGCCTTGCAGCCGAAAGAGTTCACTCCAAAACTTGCTAACAAACACCTGGTCACGATCAGTGATTATCAATATCGACGTACCGTGCAATTGAATTATTTCTTTAATAAAAACTGCCGCCACAGAAGGTGCTGAGAAAGGGTGTTTAAGGCCCACAAAGTGGCCATACGTACTCAAGCTTTCCACAACTACCAAGATTGAGTCGAAACCATCTGATTTTGGCAACCCTTCAATAAATTCTATGGATATATCGTCCCAAACCTTCTCTGGCACAGGTAAATATTGAAGCAGCCCTGCAGGCATGAGAGTGTAATATTTGTTCTGTTGACAGGAGGCACAAGCTGCCACAGTCCTGAATGTCCTCTTTCATGCCTCTCCAATGGAATGTTTCAGCAATCCTTTTGTATGTCTTGAGGAAACCCCCATGCCCCCTATTTTGCTATCGTGTCCCTCTTGTAATGCCAATAACACAAATGGAGAATCCTTGGGTAGGGCGAGTTTGTCATGGTATAATAGAGCACCCCGTACCAAAGCAAACTCTGGGCACAACGACGAATCAGCTTACAATGCCGTGAGAATCTGGCTCAATTCTGGGTCCTCTTTTACTGCTTTTGATAATTCATCTTGCAGTAGAACACATGGCATACTAAGTGTAGTCAAGGTTGAAGATAACTCAATGCAGGATAAGGCATTGACTGCCTTATGTAGCTCTGGCTTGTACTCTATGTCGAAATTAAATCCCAGCAGCTTTGTTAACCACTTTTGATATTTTGCATTTACTAGTCACTGTTCCAGCAGAAATTTGAGACTCTTCTGATCAGTCCGGACTACAAAACGCCTCCCAATCAGATAGTGTCTCCACTTTTGTATAGCAAATAAGATTGCCATCAATTCCTTCTCATAAATGGACTTGCTACGGGCTCGAGATGGGAGAACTTGACTAGAATAGGCAATGGGCCTCTGATGTTGCATCAAAACTGCCCCCAAACCATGGCTGGACGCATCAATTTCAATCACCAACGGTTTAAAAAATCTGGTAGTGCCAATACTGGAACCGAAGCCATAGCCTTCTTTAAACTCTCAAAAGCAGCCTTCGCCTTATCATTCCACCCAAAGTTATCCATTTTTAACTGTTGCGTCTGTGGCCATGCTTTCATCTCATATGCTTCTACAAACCTCCGATAGTACCTAGTTAGACAAACGAACCCCCGTAGTTCTCTAAGGGATTTTGGGCGCGGCCAAGCTATCATAGCAGCCACTTTAGATGCATTGGGTTTAGATTTTGGTGGAGCTCCTTATTCTTACACTGATGGCCGATCGTGAACTTCTCATCACAATGGTAGCACAATCCTCTTTCACGCTTGGTTTGTACCTTGGCATCTGTAAGTCGCTTGAAGGGAGCGGTCTGTTTTTGGAGTGATCAAGGGCCTGCCAAACGATTTGGGATAATATTAAGAGGAATGGTGGGCTTGGGTATGGGTTTGGATTAGATAAGCATTGGGTTTAGATTTTGGTGGGCCTGGGCTCTATTGTCCAACCTTAGTAACCCAATTTCTTTCCTCCACCATCTGGCTATTTCCATCATTTGTTCCAACCCAACTGGTCTATGTAACTGGACTTCTGCCCTTAACTCTGGCTTCAAACCCATTCATAAAACTCCCTTCTATCACTTTCTCCGACAGAATGTTCAATGGTCCAGCCAACATATCGAACCACTGTAGTGAAGATAGTCCCTTACGGTGGTGGTTTGCCGAACTGCCAAAAATTGGGCACACAAAATCCCTTTTTGTGAGGCTTGAAATCAATGCAGTAGCCTCACCTTCATCTCTTCCCAGTTTAGAATCGGCCGTTCGCTTTTCCTCCCATTTAAACCAGACTAACGCCTCTCTGTCCAGACATACAACGGCAGCATCCATCTTCTCTTCTTCTGTCATCTTATTGACCCCGAAATATCTCTCCACCCTGAAAATCCACCTATCAGGTTTCGTCCCGTCGAACAACGGCATATCCAACCGCCTTACACTCGACTCTCCCCTCCAATTTCCCAGGGTGCCATCTCCCTCATATTGGCTTCCATTTGGTCTGGAGTGGGCTGGCCCAGATTTAGCAGACGATGCTGGTTCTTTTGCCATTCCCTTCTCCTTGCTGTCCCTCTCCTAGTTTGCCCAGTTTTGCAGTAGAATATCCACCTTCTCCATCATGCCTGTATGCATTGAATGGAACTCTGATTGTAATGCATCTAGGTTAGTTTGTAGTTCATGATGATTGCTATCAACCGTTTGCCCCAACACACTTACTCGGTCTGCCAGAGTCGTGACTGCAAGAAGGAATTGGATGCTCTGATACCAAAATGTTAGGTCCCAATCTGTAGAAGAAAGGAAAAGCAGAAGAAAATGCAAGAAAAAGCTATTTGTATTGATTGAATGGGAATTACAACTCAAAAACAGAAACCAACAGAGGCCATTCGAGAGTGCCTCACTCTCCTACCATGACTTACAATCTTTTTTTCATATCCCCGTACTCCATGTATCTATTCTATTTATAACCCCCCTGTGTAACTAACTCTAGCCATGTCACCTCTGCTCAACAGAATTTGTTACTTATCTACAGCCTTCTCAACCCTTCTAGAATAGGTGTATTTGATTGGAGGCCTATCATTATACTACCAGATGCTTTTAATTTCTTTATAGGTTTCAATTTGATTGACTGGAATTCTTTTCTGAACAGATATTAGGCTGGCTTTTGTGTGGTCTGACGTTTACTTTGTTTGGCAGGCATTGCTGAACTTGGAGTGATGATGATGACTACAATCTTAGTAACTCTTGTAATGCTTCTTATATGGCAGTTAAATATCCTTGTGGTGCTGAGCTTTGTTATAATTTTTTTGTGGTTGGAGTTGACGTTCTTTTCGTCTGTTTTATCAAGTGTGGGAGATGGAAGTTGGATCATATTGGTGTTTGGCATAGTGATTTTCTTAATAATGTACATCTGGAACTATGGAAACAATATAAAGTATGAAACTGAGGTCAAGCGAAGGATGTCTATGGATCTGATGCGGAAGCTGGGTCCTAACTTGGGAACGGTCAGAGCACCTGGCATTGGCTTGCTTTACAATGAACTTGCGAAGGGAGTACCAGCTATATTTGGACATTTTCTTACCACACTTCCTGCTGTGCATTCTATGATCATATTTGTATGTATAAAATATGTTCCTGTTCCTGTTGTGGTTCAAAGCGAAAGGTTTTTGTTCCGTCGAGTCTGCCCGAAAAGCTACCACATATTTCGTTGTGTTGCCAGGTAATATATCATGCGGACTGTAATGTCTGATTTATTAAGTTGCGATGGTTAAACTTGGTCCTCCTATTTGCCTGCCCAATTCACCGTGAATGGAGTTTTTTTGGGGTAAAGATTATTTTGCTTCAGAATTAAGATAATAATGGACTGTATCGTGTTTAGTCTGCTGAATGTTATGGGTATTTCAAACTCATTTCACCCAGTGGTAATTAACTGGATTCTCTGATTTTGTTGCATGTTTATTTATAATTTGTCATGGAAGTTTGAGATGTTATTTTCTTCGACTAATGCATAATTTGAAGAAATAGAGGGGAGAGGATCGTTTTTCTCAATTTATGAGGAGCAATTTGGTTGCAGCACTCTGTACTTTTTACCTGGTGAACCCTTGCTTTAAAAACTAGGGATTATGACATGAAGATGAAGGTGGTCGGTTGTGCCTTGATGCACAATTGAACAATGTTGAACATTCTAAATATGTTGATCTAAATTATATTGTCAAACCTTCAATTTCATTAAAATGTTATGCATTGATATGGTAGCATTGGCTTGAAGTCATATTTGCAAACTTTACATAGCTGCATTTTCCAAAATATATTCGTATCCAACCCTTTGTTGTGATTCCATTGAGACCCATCTGGTGGTATGATATGCAGTTTAGATAAAATCGATGAATCTTCATGTGGGCATCTTGAGGCATTTTTAGAAAGAGAGAGTCACTCATTGTTTTGTTCAACACTGTCATGAACAGATATGGTTACAAGGATGTTCGCAAGGAAAACCACCAGACCTTTGAGCAATTGCTGATTGAGAGTCTTGAGAAGTTCATTCGCAGGGAAGCTCAGGAAAAGTCACTGGAGAGTGATAGTGATGAAGACTTAGATTCTGAAGAAGAGAATTCTTTCTCGAGGGTTCTAATAGCTCCCAATGGGAGTGTTTATTCGCTCAGTGTACCTCTCTTGGCCGAGTTTGAGGACATGACCAAGTCCATATCAGAAGCAAGCACCAGCTATATTTGGACATTTTCTTACCACACTTCCTGCTGTGCATTCTATGATCATATTTGTATGTATAAAATATGTTCCTGTTCCTGTTGTGGTTCAAAGCGAAAGGTTTTTGTTCCGTCGAGTCTGCCCGAAAAGCTACCACATATTTCGTTGTGTTGCCAGGTAATATATCATGCGGACTGTAATGTCTGATTTATTAAGTTGCGATGGTTAAACTTGGTCCTCCTATTTGCCTGCCCAATTCACCGTGAATGGAGTTTTTTTGGGGTAAAGATTATTTTGCTTCAGAATTAAGATAATAATGGACTGTATCGTGTTTAGTCTGCTGAATGTTATGGGTATTTCAAACTCATTTCACCCAGTGGTAATTAACTGGATTCTCTGATTTTGTTGCATGTTTATTTATAATTTGTCATGGAAGTTTGAGATGTTCTTTTCTTCGACTAATGCATAATTTGAAGAAATAGAGGGGAGAGGATCGTTTTTCTCAATTTATGAGGAGCAATTTGGTTGCAGCACTCTGTACTTTTTACCTGGTGAACCCTTGCTTTAAAAACTAGGGATTATGACATGAAGATGAAGGTGGTCGGTTGTGCCTTGATGCACAATTGAACAATGTTGAACATTCTAAATATGTTGATCTAAATTATATTGTCAAACCTTCAATTTCATTAAAATGTTATGCATTGATATGGTAGCATTGGCTTGAAGTCATATTTGCAAACTTTACATAGCTGCATTTTCCAAAATATATTCGTATCCAACCCTTTGTTGTGATTCCATTGAGACCCATCTGGTGGTATGATATGCAGTTTAGATAAAATCGATGAATCTTCATGTGGGCATCTTGAGGCATTTTTAGAAAGAGAGAGTCACTCATTGTTTTGTTCAACACTGTCATGAACAGATATGGTTACAAGGATGTTCGCAAGGAAAACCACCAGACCTTTGAGCAATTGCTGATTGAGAGTCTTGAGAAGTTCATTCGCAGGGAAGCTCAGGAAAAGTCACTGGAGAGTGATAGTGATGAAGACTTAGATTCTGAAGAAGAGAATTCTTTCTCGAGGGTTCTAATAGCTCCCAATGGGAGTGTTTATTCGCTCAGTGTACCTCTCTTGGCCGAGTTTGAGGACATGACCAAGTCCATATCAGAAGCAAGCACTTCAGAAGAGGTGAAGGCAGAGCCTTCAACTGATCCATCTTTTCTCGATGCAGAGCAAAGTCTTGATAAGGAACTGTATTTTATACGCAAAGCTAAAGAAGGTGGGGTTGTATATCTTCTTGGTCATGGAGATATTCGAGCGAGGAAGGATTCATGGTTTATTAAGAAGCTTGTCATAAATTATTTCTATGCTTTCTTGAGAAAAAATTGCAGGAGGGAAATTTCAAATTTGAGCGTTCCACATTCCAACCTAATACAAGTCGGAATGCAGTACATGGTCTAAAGAGAGTGTCATAAAAAGAAGGTTTTTTTTTGTTCTCAGCAACTCAACAAGGAATTTTACTGCCAAAAGAAGAGCAACTACTGTAACTTTTACTATTGATGTGGTTACACTTTTGGGTACGGCCAAATGATTGTTATGTTCATAGTTTATGCTTCTCAGGCTCTGCATTAGCCAGTTGTTGGAGCTTTCATATTTTCATAATGGGAAAATTTATTTATATGCTCGTGCTCTTATATGTATCATTATAGTTTTCAAGTATGGATTGTTGTAATTACCATTTAATACAAATACAATTATTGGTAGTGCAATTTTTGCTCGATAGTTTTGCTTTTCCCATTCCATTTAAGGTATCTGACATTGATGGCAAAATTTCCTTAATATTACGTTATATGAGGCTTTAATTTGAATGATTTGTCAAGAGTGGTTTTTTAGTAAATTAAAAGAGTTTGTAATAATGGAAATGGAACTTATTTTCATGAGATCATCAGCTGAGGGAAGAGAAGTCAAAATGGGAGAAATGTAGAATGGCTGCATGCTTTATACAAAAACATTTAAGTTTCTGTTTGATAGAAATTAATTTAAGTTAAAGAGAACAATTAATTTTCACCACATATTTTATGAAATCGAGATTTTTCAATTACACATTTCATTAATTTTTATCAAAATTTATTAAAAATCTGATGTTAATCCTCATCCAATGGAAGCTAAATGTCTTACACATGTTCGTGATCATAATCCGCGAGATAGGTTTTTCATTGTCAATATGAAGCATCTCTTTAGAATAGATGTTAAAGATGACTGATTTTCTTAGTCGAACGATTTCACGAGATTACTCTCCTATTGAAAGTAACTTTTCCAAATTGTCATTTTGTATCTTTTATAAACATTGTCGACTTTAGTACCGCTGTCACAAACTAATTAGGTAAACTTCACTCTCAAATTAACTTGTGAAGAAGTGTGCTTAGAAATTTGAAAAATTGGTCTTTAACAAATGATACAAGATTTTAGAGTGATTTAGAGTTTTGTGTAACTAAATTTTTACCAATTTTAATTTCCTTCTTTATCAATTATTGAAGTGATATAATAAACTTAAATATGTGATAAGGAAAAAATAGAAACTGATGTAGTTAATGCCCAATTTAAAGTAATGCCAGATAAACACAATTACGTATAATTAATTGTGAATGTTTTTGCAAAGTACTGTTTAATAAATATAACTGGACAGCATAATAAATAATTTTTTTTTTCCTTTCTTCTTTAATAATCTAAGAATTCAATCCTTATACCAAATAAATATACCATAAATGAATCGACGCAATTTATTTGACCAAACTTGCTCATTAAATCATCCAAATAATTAATTTTAAGACTGAACATTTCAATTCTTGAAAAGCAAATTGGCTGGTGGACATACAAAGTTGAATTGAATGCTGCACTATTGACTTCATTCAAACAATCACACCTACTTTAAATTAAAAGTAATTCTATTTTATCAAATAAAAAATATTTTCTCTATGCCTTTTAATAATGGTATAAAACAAACATCCGGTTGAAAACTTGTGCATTTTGATAATGTAGAAGAAAATCATTTGGCCTTCAAAGAAAATCTAGTTGTAATATGACTAACCAAAGAGTTCTTTGATACTTTCTTTAATTGCAATTTCATCATATAGGTTCGATGGCAATAGTATCTAAGGAATCCATATAAAACAATCTCTTTTTCTTTCTTTACAATTCTATAATAATTAATGGCTATTATTGATTTTTGGAGAGATTTGTCCGATAAGATTGTTTACCTTACTTTGTTATTCATTGTTTCAACATTCGATCGACACTCAACCTAGTTTTCTACTTTCTATATATGTTTAGTCTTCGTAATTGTAGATTGTGTAAATATTCTAATATTTGTCTTTTAAGGTAATTTTCATACTAGTATTTGTAATAGTAATAAGTATGAGGCTTTTTCTATGATAAATATATAATAGACCATTCAGCTTTTCTAGGTATAATTGAGTAATTCTCCTAATTGACTCTTGTTGTAGGTGACTTAAACGTCACCCTGTACACTAATTCTAGTTCAATTTCGATATTTAGCCTCTATCTCGTCCTTGATAGGTGGTTTCACTGTTGTAATCGTGGTTGACTCTTCTTTTGGGTAACTCTAAATGTCCTCTTTTATGCTAATTCCAGTTCAACTTCGATATTTAACCTTTACCTCATCCTTGATAGTTGGTTTCATCATTCGTGGTAGATATCAACTCTTTGTTAAAGTGAGCCCAAGGTAAACAATTGCTGAAGTAGTGAAAAAATCTTTTTGATAAAAAATATACACATTTCAATATTGCTAGTAATGACTAATGATTGAAGGAAAGTAATTAATTGATTTTTTTAATGAGTTAATTGTTCCAATGGTCATTGAACTTTGATTGGTGTCTTTAATTGATTACTAAAGTTTAAAATGTCGAATTCATTGACCTTTAATTCATGTTTTATATTGTTCACTAAAATTTAAAATATCAAATTTTGGACACTGAACTTTGAAAAATGGTGTACATTATAATTGTAAATCGATATTTTTCAGAATTCAACATTCATGTTAGTGAGTAACGTACAACATTTTTTAAAGTTCAATGGTCAAAACTCAACATTTTAAATTTGAGCGAGTAATTGAAAACATGAACTTAAGTTTAGTGACCGAAACTTGACATTTAAATTCAGTGACCAATTTAAGACATGGACCTAAGTTCGGTGACCATTGGAACAATTAATTCTTCTCCCTTTTTTTTTTTTTTTTCTTCAATATTATTCAATTCATTTAAGAAACATGCCATAAATAAATGGATGCAGAATGACATCTGCAACAAGTTTGACCAAACTTTCCTATCATTCAAATAATTATTTTTCAAATTTGAATTTAACTCTTAAAAAGCAAAGTTGGCCCGTTACATGTTTAATGATGCATTATTGACTTCATCAAATAATTACATCTACTTCTATTTTGACCAAGTAGAAGAAAATCATTCGGCTTTTTGGAAAATCTATTTGAAATGTCACTAATCAAAGAATCTTGAAAACTTTCTATAACATGTAAGAAATCACAACACAACTGTTAAACTTCAATAATAATGACATTTAACGAGCTTTCTCAAATACTATTACTTGTTACCGTAGAAATTCACTTAATCAATTTTTTTGCATTACGTCTCATCTATTTTGACCTACAACTTGAAAAATCTGAGTCTACTTGACCTATTTGATCATTGCATAGGGATTGATCATGTACCTCAATTGTTCGTCCAAACGTAGTCATCAGACTTAAGTTTTTAGTATATTGATGGCCAAGCGATAGGGTGCCACAAGTACGTCCTCTGTCCAATTGCATGATTATGTATGTCCATTCTTGATTTGGCTTAGGTAATACTTTTCTTCTATGTAATCAATTGAAGTGTGAGGAAATTAAAAATATAAATGTCTTTAGATCCTATTTTCTATCTTTTGAGACATTAATATACTTGAATACAACATGTGTATGTTTGTCACATTTAGCTATTTTTAAAAATTATATTTAATAATTTAATCCATATTTTTATTAAAAATAACTTAAACAGTATTGAAATTTTTTGGAAAAATAAAATTTTTTTGGTTAATATTGGACTTACATTTTCATGTAATAAAAATGTTCGCCTCTTTTGTTCATGCATTCAAACTCACGTGACCCTTTTCCTTTGGTTTTGTGGAAAACCAATTCCCATGGATTTTGGCGGGAAATGGGTTTTCCAGGTTTTTTTTTTTAATATTTTTTTTATTTTCAGCAATGGAAATAAATTCTATCGATAATTGTAATAAATTCTATTTCTTTAATTGAAAATTTTCATAAAAAATATAGTGAAATGAATACCAAAAAATTCAAAATTTCAATATTTTGAAGATGAAAAATTATACCAATCAAACAATTTAATTGATAATTCTCAGTAAAACAAGTTTTAAGCAATTCAATTCCTTGAAAATCGTTTTCTTTCCACCTAAATTCTATTCTTGTAATCAAACGACCCTAAGAGTAATATTATTTATACATTATGATTAACAGATCGATTTACAAATTGATGACATAGAACTAGAAGAGATAGAAAGAGAAAAAGTAGAGGGAAAAAAGGAAATTTATTAATATAATATACATCATCAATTTGTACATTAATTTGTAAATTATAATGTACAAATATCATTACAACTAATTCTTTCTTTCTTTTTCCCTCAAAATGGGTTGGATAATTTTTGTATTTGGGCAAAGAGCCGAATATTAAAAGAAAGAAATGAAAGGGCGGCAGAAAATCAAAGGCCCTTCCTTTGGGATTGATAAATTCTGTAATAGCTGACCCAAAATCACAACCCCTAACCCCACTCCACCTACGAAAGTACTACCTTTGACCAGTAAGAAGCCTCTTTTTTTCGACTTGTAAGAAACCTGGGACCTTAAATCAAGAAAAGAAACAGCTGTAATAAACAAAATCAAACAAACAGCGCTTCTGACTGGCTGTAACATTATTACAATACAGACATACATGGCATGAGCTTTTTTTTTAACAATAAAAGAAACAAAGTCAACAAGGGGAAGCTTGGCCTATTGGCAACCATTCTTGCCTGCTTATTTATTATTTATCCCCTTCCCCAACAAAGCTATAATTCCTGCTATCATTTCTTGATTTTATTTTGATCTTTATATAGATAGTTTTTGCTTGTATAGACCTATACTGTTTGTATAGAAATTAAGTCGGCAAGATAGTCAATTCTTGATCTGAAGACTGGAGGATCGGTAAGTGGAAATTCTTGGATACCCAAGTTGAGATTTTTGTTGAATATCTTGGTTCTTTAAGGAATTATATTTTGATTATGTTTTTCTTGGCGGGTTTGTGGTTTATGATGATCAAGATTGCTGTTTTTTGATTTTAAAGGTTCTGGATTTTCAATTTTGGGAAGTTGATAGTAGATGTTGAACTGGAGAGGTGGAACATCAGAATTATATGGGTAATTTCTGCTGTTTTCAGGTGAGGATTTGCTTGCTGTTATTTATCTGGGGTTTCATAGTTTTTCTGCTTTGTCTTGATTAGGTCATCAGAAGGCTGACGATCCCATGAATTTTGAGATGATATTTGTATACATACTGATTTAATTCAAAAGGGGTTTATCAAAATTGGTTCTGTCTGAGTTTTCAAAACTTTGTTAGTGTTTTTGATGAATTATGAGGTATGGTTGAGTTTCCCCGGGTTTGTCAAAATAGTTGAGGGTTTATGATCTTTTTGATGCTAGAACAGTGGGTTTTTTATTTCACAGGAAAATCGTTTCATTTCATTTTAGTTTGATGCTTTGGATAAGGTTGCTACCAATTGTTAGTTACATGTGTAATCATCAAAATGAGTAAGGAATTTGAAAAATCCATCAAATCTTTTGGTACACGCACATTGTAATTTTCCATCATTAAGATTGTTTGTTGGGCATCGAGTGCATCTTTTTGTGTTTCCAATGAGTTTAAAAGTGTAGGTTCCTCTTTTTCTTTAGCTTGCAGGAGGCCGTTCTTCGAGTGGCTCCGGCAAGGGAAGAAGTCATCAGGGACCTGTAAAGTATGGATTCAGTTTAGTAAAAGGAAAAGCAAATCATCCTATGGAGGATTTCCATGTTGCTAAGTTTGTACAGTTTCATGGTCGCGAGCTAGGACTATTTGCTATTTATGATGGGCATTTGGGAGATACTGTGCCGGCTTACTTACAAAAGCATCTGTTTTCCAATATCTTGAAGGAGGTTTGTTTCTCTTTAAATGAATTAGCATGAGATGGATTATGATGTATACAATATATTGAGACAAGCAGCGTTTAACGTAATGAATGTATAAATGGCATTATTTCCTGAACTTGACTGTTAAAGACCTTTTTCAAAGTTTCTCATCAGTTCTTTTGGGTTAAAATTGTTTAAATGATTATTTAAGATCGTTGTTTGAATTTTATGGTAGTTTGGATAATAGTAATACTTTTGGCTCTGTTTGAGCTCCATTTTTGAGAATTGTAAAAAAGTGATTTTTTATTTTATTTATTTATTTATTTTATTATTATTATTATTATTTATTTATTTATTTATTTATTTTGAGAATTTGGTTATATAAGGAAAAATTTTGAATTTACGTACAAAATTATTTTATTGAGAGAATATGTGGTTGAAAATGAGGTTTAAAGAATGAGGCTCAAACGGAGGCTTTTTTATCTTTTTTTTTCCCTTTAAACAGGTAGGTGATGTTTGAGGTGGGATATCCCCGAAAGGACAGTAGGAATTTGTTGTGGTGTGGAGAGTAAGAATGAGCTGAAAGTTCTATACATAAATTTGACAATAAGAAATGGATACGAGTGAACCTTCAAGAATAGATATATATATCACAACCTGAAAATATTCTGAGGGACCTCTGTTAATTTGTAGTAAAGAATAGTATTAGCCTTGTGTTTGTAGGACTTACATCATATGCTGGATGGTTGTAGCCGTTTTTGAAAGTTCAGATTTGTATTTGGTGCCATCTCGCTTTTAAGATGATTTGTTTATCATCAGAGTCGAATCTAGTCGCTCATTCATCTCTTTGCGTGTTTCCTCGATCAACTTTACTTTTTCCTTTCTTTTCATGTGTCACCTAACAGTTATCACCACCAAAGCATAGCCAAGAGCATCTAAATTCTCACTACGTACAGTCACCGAAGGGGAATAAAGTGCTTATATATAAGCTTAGCCAAACATTCTCCTAGTGGGAATTTATCATTCTAACTTTTAAAATACATATCTATTTTATGCTTACAATCTGCATCTGGCAACTCTGATGTGCTAACTTATGAGTTTCTTCTTTTGCACACATTTCACACACTGCAATATGGTCTCTCTCTCTCTTCTTTAATCAGTTGTTTGGATTACTGTATATATGACTTGCTTGCATGTGATGATTAAGTTACCACTTCATCAACTTAAAGGTAGTGATATGCTTTTGAGAGCTATATTTTAGGCATCAATTGGTTTACTCTTCCTACCGTTGTTATATTACTCCAGGAGGACTTTTGGACGGATCCAAATAGGTCTATTGCTAAAGCCTATGAAAGAACTGATGAGGCAATTCTGTCACACAATCCTGACTTGGGACGAGGTGGGTCCACTGCTGTTACAGCAATTCTCATAAATTGTCGACTTCTGTGGGTAGCTAATGTTGGAGATTCACGAGCAGTCCTTTCGAGGAAGGGGCAGGCTATACAGTTGACCATCGATCATGAGCCGAACACAGAGCGAGGAAGCATTGAAACCCGAGGTGGATTTGTCTCTAACATGCCAGGTATTTAATCCTAGAATTTTATTTTAAGTAGCTGTGTTGTACTTGTTATAACTAGCCTGAATCTGTCAGATGCATCTGGTAATCATCTTTGATGCAAGACTGTATATTTCTGATTTATGGCAAAGTTCTTATGACTCCAATGAAATGCTTTGGGAAAATTGCTCCATTAGTTCCCAACTGGTGGACCTTGTTGCAACTTCTCCATCAGTGTTGTCCCCAAATGTGATGCTTGGACTTTTCGAAATGATCGGAGTACGTATGGGTACTCCATTTGGACACTGCAATTTATATAGGGGTTTTTATCTTCTAATTGTTATACAATTTTCGTGATTTTAGTCAAATGAGTTATTTTATCCATTGCTACTAATGCTTTTAGGTTAATCAGATTGACAAAAAAGCCATATTAATAGTGTTGATAGGTTAATAAGGTTGACAATAAAACCGTATTAACCAAATTTGGACTTTTTTCAGCCTCGTCCTTATATCCTACATTTTAGAAAATAAAAGATCTGACACTTAGGTACGTTCCCGTATCCAAGTCCAAGAATCATAGGTCCCCAATGTATTACCCTTGTAGCGTCATTGATTCTTACTAGATGGGTTCTGTCATTTGACAGTTAAGAAGTTAATTTTTGTTTAAAAGACTATTATACCCTTACTTTGAGCTAAAATAAGTAAAAAATAAAGTAAGGGAAAATTGCATAGGATTTCCTAACCTTAGCATTTTGTGCAAATGGGTACCTTACCTTCAACTCTTGTGGCCACCATCCTCAACCCTTCACGTATGTACCAGAAATAGACAGAGTAATTAAGTGTAAGTGGTACCAATGCATCTTCTTTTTACTTCTAACAGTCATTCGTCAGATGACGATGACTACACATTCTGCTTATAATTTTATTTGGGGCAATTATATATGCCTCTTTATGTCTTGGAGTTCAAAATTTGATGACTTATGATATGATCTGCAATCGAAGTACAGTAAATCATGCAGAAAAGTGTTCTAGTAGTTCCACGCGCGTGATTAGAAATACCTACGATCTAATATTGAAGATATCAATTTGAACTCAAGTTGGAGATTGTAGGTCTTGGTAGGAGAGTTGGACAATATGTTAATCATAGTGGCTTTTGAGCAAGTGAATATCTCTGATGATTGTGCCAAAAGCTATGCGTATAGTTTCTCATTTTGTGGACTTATGCAAGTCTCGGATATGTACACATGCCGAGTTAATTAAATGAGTGCCCACTCAACTTTACCTATGGTTACTAGTTGCTCATCGAAAATTGAACGGTTACTCAATGCTCACTGGAATATTCATTAGATTACCCATCAATCACCATAACCAATTTCATTTGTACATATGGACAAATATTTATATATGGCATATAAAAAAACACATCATCAAAAATTTGTATTTTATAAATAAAAAAATTGAAATTAAAATTCCTTCAATTCACCTTCCTTCTTCCCCAAATCACTTTGCTCCCTAGGGATGGCAAAAAGGATGCCCAGACTCGAACCGCCCTGTGGAGACAAAATAAAAGGGGCAAGCTGCTGCCCCGTCTAATCTAAGGCGGGGCGGGGCCGTTGCCATCACTATTCCTCCCCAATTCCACATCCTAGGTTCATAATTCACATCCCCAAAAATAATTTAGGTTGCTCGACTTTTTTTTTTTTTAACTAAATAGTCATATACCCAAGATTATTGAGGAACATAAATAAATTTAAATTACACACACATGCACACTTGTTTGAAAACACACATCCTCAGCAATAAATGAAATTGGGGCATTAATTTTGGATGGTTCACATCCCCAATTTTGTCGATCAGAGCATGATTCAAAATTTTTTCATTTTGGGGAAGAAGGTGATCGATTAATTTTACTGATTTATGATGAGACAAGTGGCTGGTGTGATGAATTCTGAATACAAGAATTATTAGCCATAGGAACTTCGCCGGTGAAAGTTTTAACTGCAAACTCAAAACATGGTCGGCTCATATATCCTTGAGAGGCAAGTCTGAAGTGGAAACTGAAATTGCACTAGATGATGGCACAGTCATCCCCATCATGCTGATTTGGAGGAGAAAGATCTCTATGAGGCCAAAATAGCAGAACCTTCCTGTTTATTATCATCTGAATTTTCTATTTTAAACTTCTCAATTCCAAACTGGAAGATAATATGGGGAAGAAGGTGATTTGGCAATTTCAATATCACTTTCTTTCTTTTTCATTTATAAAATACAAATTTCTAATGGCATGGCTATGATTCAGTATGCCACGTCATTTTTTTTTTATATCCGATGAATAAATATTTGTCCACATGTACAAATGAAATTGACTATGATGATTGATGGGTAATCTAATGAATATTTCAATGAGCATTGAGTAATCGTTTAATTTTCGATGAGCAAGTAGTAACCATAGATAAAGTTTAGGGGTCACTCGTTTAATTAACTCGTACACATGCCACGATGTTGGGGGGGGGGGGCTGAGCATCTACACGGCATTTCACTCAATTTGAGTAAATATAGGTAACAAGTAGATCAAGATAGTTAATGCTACATCACTAAGGATAGAGAGGATGCATGAGCAAATGCACGGGAGCGTGCCCAACTTCTATTCCAAATAAATTGTTAATTATGCATCAGCCTCTCTGGTGCAAATATAAACTGTACACTGGAATTCATTGACAAAGGTTTTGCAGTACAAAATGTATCATCAACAATTCAGCATGAAGCAATTTTATATCTTATCGTGATAGTGCTTGTAACATTATGACTGGAATGCTTATGGTCGCTATGGAAAGTTTTTGACAAGTAGGAAGTAGAAAGCAAATATGATTGCTCTAGTTAGTGTATAATAAAATAAAGCGAGTGGGCTAAAGTTCTGGTAAATTGCATTAAGTCTCACCTTGTATTTCCTTTACTTTTTTTTGGCAAGTCCTAATAGTTTCTCGTAGTAAATCGTGAATGTAAAATCTTGACAAGAACTTTGTCTTGCAAAAACTTTTTTTGGCATTCTATTTAAATACATACAGTGATTGTTCATTACAAGGTCTTCTGAAGGGACTAGTAATCTTGTGTGATTATTTGAATGCAAATTCTCACTTCTTGAAAATCAATGTCGTTATTTTGATATAGAGCATATCCTTTTTACTGAAGCATAGCCTAGTTTTGAATGGTTTTACTTTATTTTAGTCATAAAACCTATCCCAATGCATTTTTTACCAGGAGACGTTGCACGAGTAAATGGACAATTGGCTGTTTCTCGTGCTTTTGGAGACAAGAACCTTAAATCTCACTTGCGGTCTGATCCTGATATTACAAACGCTGATATTGATGCAGATACCGATTTCTTGATCCTTGCTAGCGATGGTTTGTGGAAGGTGAAACCCCCATCTTCCAGAGTTTTCTTTCAATTTTATTTTGACTTTGTTTTTATTGCTCACGACCCTACTTTTCTTTTACCTCCCCTCCATTTCTTGCGGACCCACCTCTAGGTAATGTCCAATCAAGAGGCAGTTGATTCTGTAAGGACGATCAAAGACCCACAGAAGGCAGCCAAGCAACTCTCAACGGAAGCTTTGAATCGGGAAAGTAAAGACGATATATCCATTGTTGTTGTCCAGTTTAAGGGGTAAAATGTTACTTTCGTCCTTGTGCTCATGTTATGCATATAATGTTGCATGAGATGCAATTTGTTAGGGTACAGATGCTTGAAGTCTAGAGAATTTCATCATATAAGGTACTGGTTTTATTTGAAACAACATAAATGCTTTTCGTCCTCTTCAATATTATGTTTCGCCAGTTGTGTGGTTTATTTTAGCTCGATTTCTTAGTCTTGTAGATTTTTACCATTATTTCTCTGTAATTTGAGCAAAAGATTTCATTGGCTGATTGTTTTCTACCATAATTTCTTGTAATAAAGGCTATATATAACATGCAGCCTAGTTTCTATTCGTAGTATGTGCGTTCGTGCATGTGCGTGCGATACGTGGGTTCTCGCAATCTTTTAGCTTTAGCTTCGAAATAGTTCAATTAGGAAATCATATTCTTGTAGCTTGTGAATTATATAATTGTAAAGCATTTTTCATTTTTGTGCATATAAAATAGCTCTTACAATTCATATTCTGCAATAAAAGAAAAAAAGAAGAAGGAAATAATAATAATAATCTCTAACTACTGAGAGAATTTCAAAAGAAAAATAATTATTAAAAATTAATGTGCAACCATATTATGCCCCTATTTGGTGGGAATTAAAATTAGATTTTTAGTATATTTTTATAGAAGTTTTTAAAATGTGTGGTTGAAAAGTTGTGGAGCGATAAAATATGTGATTAATATTGATTGTTTGATTTTAACTTAAATTAAACTCCGATTTAAATCATTACCAAACATGTGCTATAACTGATTGAAAAGCAACTTTGGGTTTGACTATCTATTCATTAGACATCAATTTCACTTAAACAATTATGTCTTTAACTTGTTTATACCATCTAGATGACAATTTATAGATTGTATTGGAGATACTCTAGCAGACTAGCACTTATATCAAGGAACGAGTAGTGTTCTACGTTGTCTTCTTAACTGTCCACGTAGATCTTGACATGTTTGGTGAGATAGATTATATCACAATGATAATGAATTTTTTGTTGGTTTTATTCTCATTTCGCTAAGTAGCCGGTCCACCTAATTTCTCAATAGATATTATAGTTCAATTTTACACAATCGACAAAGATTAATACATTTGAAATCAATTGCTTTATCTAATTGTTTCTTCAAATACATATGTGAAAATTCAACACTATATACTATAATTTTTTTTCCATAATACGTTAATGAGAAATGCTACACTACCAGGGAAATTTTTTTCAGGGTTTGTACAGGCTCTCACAAACAGGTGGGCCCCACCTTATTAAAAAAATATCCAAAAAATCATGGGACCCACCTGTTTGTGAGTAACCTGCAGCAACCCTGTGAAATTTTTCCCTGATAGTTAGGCTTAATTGATAGCTTATGCTAATTTGTAGCCGGATCAGAATAACAAGATTTTGCTACTTATGGCTTAAACAATTATTTAAGATGTTGCTTCGTTATTTTTCATTTGATGTTTATAAATTTTTAAAACTTCTGAAAAGATATGTTTGCACTTTAAATTGGTTGCTTTTACATTCTCGTGAGTTCTCTCTCAAATGCAAGCCAGACTCAATCCTGAACAAAATTATTTTTCTCCATTTCAAGATCAACTTATAAGGAAAACACTTATCATTGGCCTGTCTGGCTTTAATATCGATGTTGTGCCCGATGTTGTGCCTGAAGATGACAACGATTGTTTAGAGACAAACACAGGGTCGAGGTGTTAAATGGGACGGACCGCATTTTAGGCCCTCTTTAGGTCTGACACTACTGGCATGGACCATACATTCTGGGCTGGCCGTGCTGACTGTCTTGAATCCAAATGGTCCAACTCAATTTAATGCATCACATATCAAGTTTAAACAGCCATAGAACCAGTCACATTGAGAAAACATGAAATATAAGTTTTAAAATCTTTGTTTTTCAATTCCTGCAGATTTTATTTCTTCATGAAAGTATAATTTCATAAATAAGAGCTGCTACATGTACAACGGGGATTTTACCAGGGTTTATATTGTCAATTTTTCATTTACAGTTGGCAAAAACAATAATAAAAAAAAAAAAGAAAAAGAAAAGAAAAACTGCCAATCAAATGCTGCCAGCTCAGCACGTGTACATTGCCTGGCCAAAAAAATCCCTCGTTACAAGGGGAATTACTCTACATAAAAATAGCTGATAAAAGTTGAGAAGCAACATCAGATGCTATGGGAAAATTGTGTGCATTCCTGCACAGAGTAACCAGATATTTTCTTCTGTAAAGTTCAAATAAACATTTGAACTTAGGACAAAAATGATCACAAGAATAATAGATTTTTGTCCTTTTCTTTTATGAGAAACTGTGGTAAATTTAAATATGTGATGTTGATGGAGCCATCTAAGCTTTATAGACTTGAGAAACCGAATCCCTGTTCTGTCTAAGAAAGCAGTTTATTGAAATCTAGCAACAATTTCTGAAGGTGTAACTTTCAATTGCAAGGTCCAACTGAAAACGGAAGCTTAATGTCCACACGGGATTTGATTATATAACTAGGTACTGCTGGTGTCATTTGCTGTATTACTTATACAAACTTTATTTCTTTATCTTCCAGCTAATTTATCGCCTACTTTCATTTCACGCTTCTGTGAAATATACACACTATGCTAAGTAAGTAGTTAAAGAGTTGAGATTCCAATTTTGTTGTCCGAATGACTGTCCATCCAATGAATTATTGACATGTCATTAACTTCACTACTAACCAATCAAATTGATGAAATGCCAATAATTCATTGAATGGATAGCCATTTGGACAGCAGATCTCATCTCAGTTGTTATATAAGACATTCAACTAAAGGATGGACATGCCTGAATGATGAGAAATTTTAGTATGGAGGCTTTCTACTTTGTTGTCCTCTTCACGTGTCTTGTGCATACAATTGAGCAGTCAAGAATAAGAAATTGTTTGATCATTTGCAATTGCTTCTTTTACTGCTTTTATAAATGTGTGTGTCATGGCACCAGTCATAACTTTATCTGGAGAGAGAGCCTGCAAGAAAAGTCATCCGAGTTGCTATTATACTGATCAATCTAAAAGTTTAATCTGTTAGAGACGTGATTCAACATGCCTCTCCGTGTTCAAGCTGCATTCATTAAAAATGGTAATAAAAGAAATCATGTGGCCAACCTCGCATTTGTTGAGAAAAATATAGTATACTCAACATCTTCTAAGAATCAAAATAATAAATCACAACAAATAAAACATGCTCGCTATTAACAAAAAGAGAAACACACACACACACACACGTGGTTTTCTTATAGCCTAGAGGCAAGTCAAGCATGGTTCCACTGTAACGAGTCAATGATCGCATGAGTTGTCACACCTAGCTTGAGTGTTCTAACAATCGCTTCACTTAAATTAATTATCAAGTATCATTCCTTCAGTTTTATAATCAATGGGGCATATTGTTTCGTTAAATCCATCTTTCCCATCCCAATTCAAATCAAGTTGTTGTAAGCCATGACCTAAATAGTTAAAAACCAAGGAGTCCCCAAATTGCAGGTCCCTTTTGTTCGTGCGAAACTCACAAGTATAGGGATCGTTAGCAAGTAATGGATTTAGTGAGTTAAGAGTATCATCTCATAGGGAATAAATTCAATTCAAGTTTACTAGTTTCGTATGGAATTCGAATTATGTAAAACAAATTGGAGATTTTGATTCTATTTTTTGCCAAATTATTCTAAGAAAGCAATAAAAGTTTGATTTTTAGTAAATTTTGGATGATTGTATTAGATTTTGATTCCGCCTATTGCTATCAATTTCAACTATTGATTCGTAACCTAGTTCCGTTCATACGTTCTTGATAATTGATAAAGCTATGATATATACCTTTTTTTTCAAGATAAGTTAAATCTATCATAACCACAACTCGAATCTATTCCAAGCCCGAATTCGAATGGTTATAATGCATTAATGTTAGATTATTTATATGATTGCACACGTTATAGATGTTATTCCTAACATCTATTGCATATATGTAAATTTTGCCGTGTTCTAAACTTATTGCGAATTTTTCAACATTACAACAAATAACTAATTATCTAATTGGTGACCAATCAATTAAATAATGCAATGGCTATACAAAATAAATCAAGATACACAAGAATTAAACTAAAATGTTAGTCTTGAATTAGAAGAAAATAACAAATAGAGTTCATCTGCATCTAATACAAAAGTGGATCTAGCCTAGGATATTAATATACATATTATATTACAAGAAGAATAATGGAGTGAAAAGATAAAAAAAATGTTGATCTTCAATTCCAAAGCCGAATTCTTCAAAATCTTGATGTAATTGAATTTCAATTCCTTGCTAGGGCTTGATCTTTTCTCTCAAAATATATTAATTTGTCGCTTGTTCCTAATGAATTTGACAAAACTGTTGTGTATGAAGAGGTAAGAGAGAGTCTTCTTCATTGCTGCCCTTGTCTTGTATCTGTATGATGAAATCGGGTTAACATTCATTTCCAAATTGCTTTCCAAAAGAGTTTTAATCAAATAAGGAAAGTTGCATTCGCGCGCGCATGATTTTGTCTTTGCACAGTTTTTAGCATT